CAAGGGATTGAGTATCTCAATGAAAATGGCTATGCCGTATTTGCCGATGTTCTTGCACCGGACGAAATTACGGCAAACATCGACCTGTTCTGGGAATATCTAGAAAATCTTCCAGCACCATACCATATCAGACGCGATGAGTCACAAACATGGGATGCGGCCTGGCCTGGTTTGACTCATGTTGGAATTATGCCTTCTGACGGTATTCCCCACTCACAGTTTATGTGGTGCGTCCGAGGAAATCCACATGTAAAAAAAAGTCTTTGCAGATATTTGGCAAACATCGGATTTGCTTGTCTCCTTCGATGCTGCTGGCTCTTTTCGTAATTGGCATTTCAATCCTCGATGGAAAACGATCAGTGGATGGTACCATTGTGATCAGGTCAGTTCTAACTTTGTCTGGCAAACCATGTTGTTGTGATTTGTTTATGGGTAGAATCCAATTGAAAAATCTGATCGCTGCTCAATTCAAGGTTTCGTCGCTTTAACGGACAACAATGAATATACTGGCGGTCTTGTAGTTGTGCCCGAATCTCACAAACATTTCGCTGACCTTCGATTAGTGGCTCGGAACAATAGTACTAGACCAAATTTTGCTCGTGTTCGTAAAAGTCACGCATTGCTCAAACGATTCAAACCACGCCTTGTGAAATGTCAAGCAGGTGATCTCGTCGTGTTTGATTCCCGATGTATTCATTGCAATACACCCGCTCTTCAGTCAGTCAACGAAACAGAAGAAGCGACGAGTGTGAAGACAAGTCAATGTTCACAACTATTACGTCTTGTTGCTTATGTATGTATGAGCCCAACGACGATGGTTCCATCCGATCAACTGGAACAATTTCGAAAAACGAGAGAAGAATTTGTCAAAAATCGAATATCATGTACACATTGGCCTTGCGAGCTCAACGTTTCGGGTAAGTAACTTATCGAAGAAAGGACCAACGCATAGTAAGTGTGATTTTAGGTGGACCACCGCCTGGCGGCAGACAACCACTTCGTCTTTCTACATACCAACGATCTCTCATCGTCGGCACTCATATCGAACTAAATGAAAAAACACACGAGCTAACCGACCTATGACGTCAAGTGAATTTATTGTCTAACGAATAGTGATGTAAATCTCACCTTTCAAGTTCTTAAATAATTTTGGTTTGACGAACAGTCTTTAGAAGGATAATTATTCTTTTTGTTCGAAGTATCAGGATCTGTCGGATTCACTTGTTGTTTGAGTATAGAGTGATTAATAAAAAGGAAATGTGAAGTATGATGACATTACGATCAGTATTTATATGTGTTTCATTGTCATAGAGATAAGAGGTAATATGTCAAATTATTTCGAGGGCGTAGATATTCTCTCCAGACACAAATTCCAATCTGGCAAATAGCTTTCTGTTAAATACCATTTAGAAGTACGTGAAACAATACAATGGTGAAGAAACAGTTCAAACTCACATGCTCTATACAAGTGGCATTGTTGTAACTAATATGTAAAGAATTTTATTCGATCTTATGATGTGCAGGGATGGTATTATTCTTCTCTCGGTGGACTGTCGGAAGAAAATAACGCAGAGGGATATAAGAACCGAATTAAAAAAGAGAGTTCTCAGTTATTCTTGATTTCATTATTCCATTACAGTTGCAAACTGTGTAATGAGTTTGAGAATTTTCGGAGATTCATTCGAGATGGACTTGAGATTATTATCAAGTTCATTAGTAGTGGTTTCCCGTTTATCTTTAGATTTGTTGAAGCTGTACAATGTAATATCTTTTACCTGAATCTCTGCAATATATCTAGAATATAAATATGACGATAAAAGAAAGAGATAGGTGAATGCTAAAGTGATAGACAAGATTATGTTTGATTTGAATTAAAACTTATGATATGAATAAATACAGAAAAGAATAGAAAACATGCAGATATTGAAAGTCATATAAGTTTCTAGTTGACTGATGTAATAATGCATGCTGTTTGCCAGTTGTGGGCTTGTATAAAATGTTATTGTGATCGAACTGTTGTAGCATTTGTTTTCAGATTTTTCTGTGCCGTTCTATTAAAGGAGAAATAGAAAGTGTATATTTAATTGAACTGATCATTTACCTAAGAATTTGCAGCAGCTGCGGAATGCTTACCAAGTAGAATTTAGAATTTTGTAGACTTTTATATTTTTAGTATTTGATTTGAAAGAAAAAAGAATTCTGAACAGAATTCTGATCCATATAGAGTGGAAGATATCAAATGTCTAAATGATTTCAGGTGATCTACAAGTTGATAGAATTCTGCTGCATTGACAAAATTTTTGGCAGAATTTTGTTGCTGTATGAGATGAAGTCATTGTGCGGTGAAATGATATTAGTTGATCTAGAAGTTTACAAACTTTTGGTAGTGTGATGAGTGTTCAGGCGCTTCCTTCTACACTATTAATCAAATCCAAAAGGTAATCTAAAGAGCAGGCCACTTGTGAAAAGTGATTTTCTTAGATTGGTTGAAGGAGATGCATTTTTCTTCATTTGAATATTTGGAGTTGACTTGTAGAGGATGGAAATGTCGAATGAGTTTTTGATTTGCATGGATATTGCCGCTGATTTGTGGAATATAGGTTGAAGTTGGTTGCGCTCTGATTGCTTAATCGAGAAAGCAATGGTGAAGCTAAAGACGCAGTATACTACAGTGAAGTAGTTGCGAAGCTTGTAACGTAGTGGTTGTTCATATTGGTGGTCTGAAAGATGCGATGCAATGATTTGTTGACTACTGGTTGGAAGATAAAACGTTTACTACATTAGACTGGACTAAACGTAAATGTTTGTTTGTTTTAGTATTGATATAATTTTTCTTCGCAAGAAAGGAATGACGGCTTACAACATGAAATTTATTTACGCAAATTTGCTGCGAGCGGCAGAATTGCGATTAGGTCCGTAAATAATGTTTAGTGAGAATGTTTCTAAATGTATCGAATCATGGAATGCAATTCTTCAGATGGATTCATTATCAAGTTCACTTGTGTTACTTAACGTTGTTGCAACGACGCTTGAAATTAGCTGGGTATCAAGAACAGCTGGTAACAATGAACGCGTTCCACTGAATCTTTATTTAATGATTTTAGCACGTAGTTGTATGTGTTACTATCTAGTTTCGATTTATTTTAAGAACATCTTTTTTTCAAGCATATGGGAAGAGTGATATCAGCAATTTAATTCGAAATGTTTTACGATCAGTTAGGCGTGCTCGTGGTGAAGATGCGGAAGTTTATTTATGCTTAGATGAGTTCAGTCGTGCTGGGTTGTTAAACTTACTTGATAAGTGCGTAAAGATTTTTATGGCTGAGGAAGCCAACATCACGTTCTCAGAGGCTGGTTTATTCAATGGGTCTGCCAAATCGTCAGATGAAATGAATTGTAGATGTACGTTCGCCTGCCTATTTTTAAAATATTGTTTGTGTGGTTTTAGCATTGATTATGATATTGTATGATCGAATGTTTTATCTTTACGTGAGGCAATTGGCAAGAAAAACGATTGTTGTCAAAAGCAGTAAACTCAATTTGCTTGTGAGTGAATCAGCAAAGTCATTGTTTTTATTATTGTCATCTAATTATGTTTAACTATTTGAAGGGATTATTTACCGGTGAGGTGATGGGTAACATCGTGACTCGATTGAAGGGTGGTGGCGCCTGGGTTGGATCGTACGATTCCCTCCATCGAGCTGTTGGCGCTCGCAGCTAGCTTCTTTCGAAATTGTGGCTTTCGATACGATGATCGAGCATTAGCTCGGGTAGTTGAATGGGGGAATTCAATTCGGATGAAAAGTGAGGCATGTTTGTGTTTATCTTTTCTAGACGTACGTATCTGGATAAATGAAAAAAGTGATGAAAGAGGTACGAGTTGGTATAGAAAAGAAACAGCAAGTACACGGTTTTCATGTAGTTACCAATTTATCTAAAAATGTGCGGCATAAGTTTCAATGAAGGATGTATTTTAATCATATCTCGGACCGATGATTTTCGATCGGTTTCTATAGTTCTTCGTGTTATTCTGTTAAGCTACCTTTCGAACTGATTGAACAGGTTAAACGAAATACATTGGAAAGCTTTTCAGACATAAACTCAACTTTCTTATATTAATTTTTCAAAATGAATATTGTAAATCTTTGACACTCATACAGTCCGGTCGCATAGCCCCAAACGGGATATATGTCCTCATCCCGGAATATCGCTCGTGAGGCCGGACTGTCAGATATTTAAATTTTGAATGTTGAGAAGCGAAAAAAACGTAGTTGCTATTCTGAGAGGGGAAGATGACAGTTTAGGTTTTTCTAAGAAACGAAATCAATGTTACCGCATTTTGATATGCAAAACGAAAGGAAAGATCACTTACTTAGGTCCTGGTGTTGATAATGTTTGATCAAGGTTCGCACTGTAAAATACCTGATTTATTCCTTTAACTGTCCATTTATCACCTGGTGGAGGAAATGTTTCATCAGCTATTTTTGCGCATTGACCGGATTCAGCATTCGAAGCCACCAATAAATTGACACTGTAATCTGAATATAGAAACAACAGTAATTCAAGTTCTCCTCGTTCTCAAACTGACGAGTTTTTCTGGTGAATTTTGCTAGAAACAATACATTAAGGGTAATTTTAGCCATTGTCCAAAGCCACAGAAAAGAAAGTCCGGGTAAGAGAAGAAGAGGTCATCCAAAGCCATATATTCATGTGGAAAGGCAGACTCTACTTTGATCTAAGGTAAGATGAAGTTTAGTGGAATTTAAGAGTCATTGCACGGTAGAGATAGGCATTTCTCACATAAGTTGCTCAATCGATGTCTGAGTTTTTTGTTCACACTTGCAAAGTAGGTAGCTGCGACATACTTAGGAAGATTCCCAAAAGTTTTCCACGGGAACTTATTTTCTTTAAAAGGCATGAAAGTTTACATAAAAAGGCCTAAAAACAAGCTGAAACGATAAATATATAAAAGTGAGATTTCTTTTGTTTATATCTTGGTCTAGGCAGTAGATGAAGAGTCCACATTTAGACCAAAAGTAGTCGAGGTTGAGGACTATCCATAGTCAAGAGCATGTGCAAAGATAACTGTATGTTGACAGATGATAACATATGTG